GTATATGTAACGTGATCAGAAATACTCAATTAATAATTATTTTCCAAGTTTCAACGATATATGAAAGTTATCAAGGAAATGGCTGCCAAAGTAGAAGAACAGCATGCACGACAACTGGCAGATATAAAGAGCTTAGAGACACGCACCAAAGATTTCTTGGAAGGCGGAAACGGTATTTGATGTTGATTGATTAATGGAGCATTCAATTCCTAAATTGCAGTCATGATACTAACTGTATCTGCCAATCACAGAAAAATCCGCAGAGAATAATACAATTCCCGTTGATTTTGAGAAACTCGTCGGTTCCAGCGTAAATTTCACCAGCCAGTCATCTAATAACACGTCAAAGACATTAAACGAAATAATACCTGATCCATTTGATTCCCCGTTCGATCAGAAGTTAAAAATACCGCCCCCTGATCCGTTTAATTCCCCGCTCGATCAGAAGTTACAAATACCGCCCCCTGATCCATTTAATTCTCTTCTCAGCCAGAGATTGCCAATGAATGTTCTCAGTAACTCGTCTATCGTACGTACTAAAATTAGACAATACCGATATTCTGGTTGCGACTCGATCTTATTAACAATATTGAAATAATTAATTTTCACCAGGTAACCCCGTTTCCACCGATAGGATCGAACCGACCCAATTCATCGGGTATATTAGATACATCATTGAATCAACAGAACAAGATCTCTGATAACAGGCGGCAATCGACCGGAGTAAATTATACGGGTGGCATATTGCAGCCTGTCCCATGGAATGCGAGTAACAAAACGAACACTAATGGTAATAATGGTAATAATAGTACGTCAACGTCAACCACTACAGGTCGGAAAGATTACTCTAATTTTGATCCATTCGCAGAATCGTTTTAATAACCATATTGATATTGAATAGATCACATATTTAAATAATATAAAGACGTAGTTATAGATACATAATTAGAGTACAGGAAACACATATTAAATATTACACATTGTAAGCCCATTCATTATTAGGGCCAAACTTTGAACTGGGAAATATTTAGTTTATATACTATATTCAATTTTCGATTAGTCGATTTGTGTTCCCAAGCCGAAAAACTATAAATAATTCGGACTCTCAATCAAAACAACAGGCGAACCCGACATCGTACAACTTGAGGGCCAGCTGTGACGCGTACATAAATACAACAATCCTGCCGTCGCTCCGTCCCCCCCCCCTCCTCTCCCTCTCCTACCCTGAACCTTATATTCTCGAGCATGCATTACTCCAGTACCATGCCTACCATGCCAACCAAGACTGCAAAATATGTATATCATGGACATAGCAAGATCATCTCTGGTGTTATTGCTGTGCTTGAAAACACCGATGAGCCACTCTCTTTACAAGAACTAGTAGATGAAATGACCAGGCGACAGTTGGTCGTATTCCAGTAAGTGAACATCTCAATTCATTACGCTCGGTCAATACGCGTTTTACTCTCATCTCGCTCTTTTGAGTTGGGAATGTGAGGCCACAGCTTTTAATTCGCGTACCTATTACAACATGCAATAGTGGTGCAACCCCGCGCAACACCGTGAGCGGTGAAATCAGTAAACTCCTTAACGCTGTGGGACCTAACAACGCACCCATCTTGAAAGTCAATCAAGGCAAGCTTACAAAGTTCTTCTTGCGAACTCGACAGAAACAGCAGGACGGACTGTATGTATACAGCGAGGAGGGGGAAAAAAAGAAAAAGAAAAAGAAAAGCGTTTGAATTATTCGAGGATAGAGGGCGGGGCTTGTGCTAGGATCATTTTATTAATGCGGATCCATTTGTCGTTCGCTCGAACAGCAAGGAGACCTTGACCGGTCGAATCCAGAAGAAACATCCTCCCCGTCTCTGCAGACATTCCTCAATGTCAAGCTCATCGTCTTCTGATGAGCAGAATCCAAGCCTTGACTTTGATCAAAAACAACGTCGCTTGGATGATTTAAAGTGAGCTAGTGTATATGAATTCAGAATGATTTCGAGGGCTTGCCATGTGACAGACACCTCATCAATTTTTACCAATACTTACCTTTCAATAACAGGGCAGCGTACTTGCTATCTTGTCTCTCCGCTCATTCCTTTTGGCTAAATTACAACGAACCTGAAAGAGACTTTGAGTATTTCGTCGAATCGCACATGGGCGACGACTACTCTGACTATTGATCGAAAAACCGCCGAGTCATAAGAATAATAATTGACCCGTTCCCCCTGTGGAATGCAACTTTTCAAGATGCCTGATGATCGGGCACGATGGTTCTTAGGGTAGCTGGTAACCATAAGAGGCTGAGTTGTGTAGAACTTGAAAACTTATGATCGGTTTGGTTTCTCGACACTAATTCTTTCCTTCCCATATAGACTCTCCAGAATATTTTGATGTAGTAATTGTAGATATTAATCACTAGAAAAAACTTTACTTTCTTCCTTTTACCCTAAATTCTTTCCAGCTTTAATTAGTCTTTGAACCTTAAACCCTTTGGATTACATTTTCCAGCGCTAGTTTACTTTCTTTGGGTTTTTGTAAATTTTTCTTAATAGGAATTTTTTTAGTAATTTTTCTCCTTTTTGCCTTTGTCCCATCCCTTCCCCCATCCTTCTTTAATCTCGACTCTGTAATTTTCTCACTCAATTCTTTCCTTTGCTTGACGAAAGAAAGGATTGTATTTCCCGAAATAGAGGACCCCTCAGACAGTACATTGTCTGTTCGCAGGTCTATAATAGATTTTGCAGATTCATTGGGTTTGCTGGATCTATGAAGTTTAGTCAATATAATAAAAAAGCATGTTCATTTAAGTAAACCGTTACGTTATATCGTTGAATAGGCAAAGGTGAACTTAACGTTCTGATATGATTAATATGTGTGAATCTCATAATTAGATTATAATCGAAACCATTACTAGTACTGTTACTGTAGACAGACCATGAAAAAGCTTTTCTTGGCTGTACAGTCGCTCACTTGACTAAGCGGGGGTAACTTTGCAGTGTTGACTAGGAAACAGTGAAAAATCACATCCATAGTCAAATCGTAGCGCAAAAATGTGTTACAATTGCTATTACACGCAGCTTCATGTTGTACAGAGATCCCAATCTTTCCGATAATAAAAAAAAATAATTCAGAACTGAAACATAATAAGAAGTATTAAGGTCTTATGACTATGGGAAATTATTGAGAGAAGACTGTTTATATTAGCGATACGAACTTTGTCACTGACTCACAAAGGAATGTTGTTTTCTGATAATACGTCATTCGTACGAGTTGGTATTCTTTCTCTAAAATCATCAAGTAATTTAGTAATAAAGCGTAATGTGTTTGGTATTATTCAAATGGAGGTCGTCTGCTCTTCAACTTATGGTGGATTTATACTATACATAGGAATAACTGAGAAAGCAAGTGCCACATGCAATGAGATGCAGTGAAGCAGATCATACAATTACAAGCACGTTGACTGAATAAATAATATTGTAAAATGCAAGCTTTTAATTGATTTTTTCGACCTGTGATCAATCTATCAAATACTGAAAGAATTACCTTATAGTCAGATCCAATACAATTTGTAGAGCCGATCAACTTGATATTATTGTTATTGCACGAACGGTGTTATTGTTGATGTTAGTATTAGGTATAATCGCATTATTCTGGGATTTACTAGAAAAAAAAAAATAAGGCAGAAAGTGTTGGTTTTTTCTATTTGCCACACGTAAACCTTGGGATTTAGTCGTCTTCCGGCGGAACTCTCAGGCTCGTTCCAATTAGTGACTTAAATAAGATTTATCAATACTCTCCGATATCCGTATACGCCTTCTCTGGATTCTATTTAACCTCCGAGTCAAACAACGATTGTGATTCGCTAGGGATTATTAACGAAAATCCATCGACGGGAAAGTTTATAAATAATAATGCGTTAAACATGCAATTAAATAGAATCCTTCAGGGGGCAAGATCAAACTTATTGACCGTTGATCGAGAAAGCGATTTACCACTTAACCAGCGATCTATGGGGAATAAGCTAACCAATAAATTATATTTCAACACTTTGTTTATTAGAATATTCTAAAAGGACAATTATAAGAACTAAAACTCGAGATATTCTGAAGATGCTGTTCAGAGCAGAAGACTACAGCTGCTTATATATCTTCTCTCGTTTCACTAATTTGATACCATATTTTGATATACGGGGGAGCGATCAGCTGCGTAGTAATTTGACACGTCTATGTTGACACCGCATCGTTACATTAATCTAGATGCATTTCGTATTCGAGCCAAATGTCACGGGAGAGCCAAATGTCACGTGACTCAAGGATTTAACTTTCTTCGAGCGGATCCTAAAAGCTGAACCAGCATTAGGTCCTTCAGCAACCCTCAACTCTTGATGGATTTATTTCGCTGTTCGACCGTTTTTCCAGCTAACATAGACGTTGATGTTCTCGCTTAGTTTTCTCCATTAGGTTTAGGGTATGATTTTTCGAAGTGAATTTCTCAACTGAAACTTGAACTTTAATTGCATTATTTTTTTATTTAAAAAAGTGCACAGATTGTCGCAATACATGTACATTGTCAAAACTTTTCAGACACCCTAAGTATAATAATAATGAGACATGAAACACTCCGAAACTAGCTGACTCTTACGCTGCTTTTATATCTTTCGAGATATTAATTGTCCTATTTTTAGCAACGTATTTCTAAACTACAGTTATTGGTACAATACAAAGGAGGATTTGGCATTCTTGCTCACCGGCAATTATACCAGGAAACGTCTTTTTAATGCTCTTCGCTTCGATGCTACTTTGCCACTAAGTAATCGCCTTTGTACTTCCAGACTGTCGCAATTTCTACTAGGTGCGTTGCAAATTCAACACGGTTGTACGATTGTTGAATAATAGTTTGTATTTGAAGTCAATCCTTTTTTGGACTCTTCTTCAAATAAATCTAATTGATCGTTAAGCTCTTCACATCCACGCAATGAAGTAACGTTATCCGTATATAAATCATTGTTGTGAATGTTTCAAAGATTCATTCGATAATGCAGCCTCTGGCGTCGGAGGAGACAATACGAAAGAGAAACCAGGAGATTCAACTCCTGGCTAGTTTTGGAAGATTGTGCTGTTGCAATCTCAACATTTCGTACTAGTGCAACACCTCGCCTAATATTAAAAAGAGGAAAAAAAAACTGTTAGAGATGGAGCTAAAAATAGAGAAGCGCTAGACGTAAAGACATACAATCATCGTTTGATGAACAATTCTTCTTACGTGATCAAGCTTTATACCAAGTACACAGCGTACATAATCTTCATGCATCCACGCCTCGCATTTTTGATTCCAATCAACGATATTTCGTGGGTTAGCCACCTCACAGATGATTCTTGCGTGGGGATTACCCTATGTAAATACATTATTAATGTTAGAAAATTGGTTCAAAAGTAAATATGATAATAAAGTATCAACTTAAAGCACCTTTGCGTCACTGGGGGGAGGACCAGGATACCGAGTTGGTGGTAGTAGAACATGAGCACTACTTCCACGAACTGCTATCTTCTTTCCATTGACAGTTGGGTCATAATGACCTATAGGAAAAATTGTGAATTGTTATTACAAGCCAAAGACAAAACAGACTAAATGGAAATCTCTTACATGGTTGATGAAAACACTTACCATGTATTACACCATTATTTGGTCTATCAAACCATTTAAAAAGCACCGATACGACAGCTCCATGTTTCTGGTTTGCCATGTCGACAATATATACGTTTTCGTTTTCCCAACGAAATTTGTACCCGGACGATTCATTGCGGTCAAGAAAAGTGTTATAATCTTTCACTGAACCGTTTTTTCCAATCTGAAATGGCAAACTGCAAAGACCATGCGAGTCAACAATATGGAGCAGACTTAAAGAAACCTACGTGGGGTACACTCACTTTTCTTCTCCTAAAAGAAATTTTGGTAACTTGGGATAGTTTTGGACTGTTTTATCAACTTTATTTCCAATTTTCTTTAAAGCATCCATTTGGAAGAGTAGAAAGTCGAGTTCTTGTTGCGACAAGATCAAATGCTGTCGCTAACGCCATTTTCAGCCAGTTAAAAACTTTGCAATTTTGTGTTGCATGCGCAAATTTTTACGTCGCACGCAGGTTTACTTATTCGGCAATCAGATCATATTAATTCGCCAATACCCATTTCTGACATAATAATAACAGTCAGACAAACAAGGTAACGACTTTTATAATACCTTTGTCTTATAAGACTTCCAAAATAAACTAAAATGTAACAATAGTACAATGATATTTGCATTCTTAGTGAATTGCTACTATGCATAATTTTTTAGCATTACTTTGCTTTGGCGTGTAAAACTTCTTGTTGTATGTTGTATAAATCAATAACAAAGTTGTCACTGACAACTGCATCGGGTACCGCTACAGCATAACCTTTGGCGTTCGAAACTTTATCAATCCCAGAAAGCGTTGAGACAGGAATGATTACTTTAAATTCGGGGCATTACAGCCAGTAAGAGTATATGTATTATGATGTTCCGCCTTCCACTATCATCTGATTATAAGAGTTCAATTTTACCTCTTCCTCTAGAGTTGTGTTTGAAGATAACACACTACCTGGGAGTACTTGACGCACCCACAACCTAGCCTAATATAAAATAGAAATACTCTTAAAGTTGAACCTAATCGAATAATGAACAGATGTAAACATATAGGACATACAATAATTGCCTGATGAGTAGTTGTTCCTATGAATGTTTTAGGATAAATTTTAACCCCAAACACGCAGCGAACGTATTTCTCGTGCATCTATTTTTCATATTTAGTATTCCACGAATGAACTGTTTGGACTTTATCATTTCACAAATGATTCTTGCATGAGCGTTCCCCTGTGTAATGTGGTATTGTTAGAAAATCGCTTAAAAATAATAGTCATAATTTACAACGCACTCCATGGTCAACCAGGATTGGTTGAGAATTTGAATTGCTATTACAAGCCAAAACAAGCAAATTGAATACGTTATTTGGCTTATCAAAGCATTTGAAAAGCCCCGCTACAATACCTTCATGCTCTGTGCTTGCCATTCAACCACATACACTTTTTTGTTATCCCAACAAAATTTGTATCCGGATGACTCGTTACGATCGAGAAAAGTATTATACTCTTTCGCCGAAATCTTCTTCCCGACTTGAAAGGGTAAACTGAAACAATACAAGTCAACAATGAATATCTTTCGAAGAAACGCGTAATTCAGCTTACTTTTCTTCTGCTAAAGAAAATTCTGGTAGTTCAGGATATTTGAAGAGTGAGTTGTTCCAAACTTTGTTCACTTTATTTACCCAACGAGACATTCGGGGAATTTTGGCGTAATACGATAAATCAAGTTTTGCCAGAGATAAATTAAGATCAATTCTTAATTTATAGTTGTCCGAGTTTAATCTGTGTTTATTGCTGTGACGAAGTGTTACTGACATGGCTTTTTCTTCTGCTATCTCTGGCTACATTTCGGAATCGACATAATGCTGGTAGGCCTTTATTCGCCAATGGCCATATGGAAGAGATCGAATTCCATCTAATAAAATCCAACGCTTATTGTTCTAAGTATATTTGTTAATCATAACTGCGGAGGCCATACATATCATGCCTGGTAATTTTTCGATTCCTAAGACATTCTAGAAATTAGCTCTCTCTTGACTACGCATTTTTTTGACTCCCTTAGCCTTTTGCATGCCGTGCTTTTTAAACTCGTTTTTCTCAAAACCAGCCTCTTTTTTGGCGTAATAGGATTGTGGCCGGAAGGGGGAACCGAGTACACCGCTATAATTTTGTTATATTGAACAATGTCTCGTTAAGCTTCGTTCATTGAAAAATAATAAAACCGGAGCCGCGATACAACGATTCCACTATATTTAATTAGTAAAACTCGGGTATTAATTCTTAATCGGTGGTGTCAAGCCAACTACTACGGAAGAGCGTTCAGTAATTGGCCTTGGGGTTTCGCTCTTTTAATCGAGGCTTGGCTAACTTCTACTCCTGCTTAAACCGCTAACACAATTTGAATGACTTTTATTTCCGACTTTAATATATACTTTCACAATTAATCAATCGGTATAACGCGCAAGTTCTCGATTGTCGACTTTAAATCGGTGGGATTAGTCCCGATAGTCCGTAGGATACAATGGGGATTGTAATACACCAAAAAAAAACCAAACAAACTAGAAACTAATTAACAATCGTGTTTGCCAATTACGAGAATCGATGGACAACCCTAGACTAATAAGAGGTATCCCAAGCCGATAATCCATATGACATGGGAAATGGTTTCTATTAAACCGGAAACAAAATGCATTATAGAGTTAGCTCTCTGTATACAAAAATTGTTTCAAGATCGTTCAGCAAAATATTGACTTTCAAAGGCATCTCTATCATAGTGATCTATCACTACGAATTCTTGAGAGAAAAAGGGCCAGAGATTTGCGTGAAAAATTGCTTTATTAGAAGCCCAACGAAAATATGATAGGTAATGCATGGAGGAATGCTAGCTTGGCAATGTAAACACAAGTGGGCTTTTGAAAAAATATATAATAATGAATCAGAAATTTACCGATTGCAACACGGGATACGAAATTTCAAAAATCAAAAGGCTCTTGATGACGATAGACAGGAGCAGATACTCACCGATTTAGGGATTGCTGAGATGACCTCAATGTTGAGCAGACCTAAAATATCGCCAATCAGCAAATAATTTACAAGGACAAATTTTACATTTACAAACATGGCGGCTGCTGACAGACAACATATTTATCAAACTATTCAAACAAATTTTGCTCATATTCCATCATATATGGGACAAGAACCACCAGATGATTATTGAAACGGCCATCAGTTATACTAATACAATGATTGCTGATGCCAATAATGCAAATGCTAATACCTTTACTGATGCACATAAGGCAGGAAGTATTTACCAGTCCACCCCAACATGCAGGAAATAATATTGATACTCCAGCCCGCTTCAGAGTATGGCTTGGAGATACCTATTTACAAAGAACAGTAGTCTGCTATTCAAAGATTATCTTTAAGACATGAAGCTGGAATTCGACAATATCTACAATATCTACAATATCCATAATTATGATGTCAATGCTTTGGGATTTCTTATGGGTCATTTACCTGCTGAGCTTTTTATTCGAATGGAAACAGCAAATCCTAGTGGTATAACTGCTTTCTTTACTTCACTCAAAGAATTTATTAACACGAATTACACTGTAAAATTGCGTCCTACTTATATTTGTCGATCAATTAGTAAACGCCCATACTAATACGTACTATGTAGGTTACAATGATTTTCAAAAAAGTAATGATATATTCAGTCCCATTATCATTTTAATAAAGTGGCGGTATCGATGTTACACATAAGAAATTTCAATCAAATTATTGTAACCTGAATAGTAATAGTACGTATTAGTATTAGTATGGAGGTTTTACTAATTGAAATCGGAATACTTTTGTCGAGTGTACTGGGTTATAAAAATGGCGTTGAATAAGTGACTTATCCTTTTACTGCCCATCTCGGCAGGTTTTTATTACCATTTAAAACTTTGCTTGTCTTTAAACTTTGAGCAGAGCTCTTGTATCAGGTACTGCAGTAAAATAATCGCTGTGCATACTAGAATTTTATGCAAATGTAGCTGATCGAATATTGCTTGTTATACAAATTAAAGGGTACCGAAAATTTGCATGGGGAGACCTGTGCCACACATTCGGTATTAGTATGTTGACCCCTGAAAATTTTTTGTGGCGTCACATACTTGATGTTGGCTTCCGACTTCTCGAGTACTATAGCAAGCAAATACGAGAGAGCAAGGCACCGCATGCTTCGTGTTTAAGGAATATGTTCAAGAGAGTGATTACTTTCAGTCAGTATCGATGACGTATGTTTATTCTACAAATGGATCTCTTAGTGGCTTCAAGAGGAATAAACTGATATGTAACATTTAGTTACATACCCGAGGACTATCTGACCATCGGAAGATGGAATAAAGCAATGCTAATAATCTGCTACTTGCCGTTTAACAGGAACTGTTCAACTTTCGACTGTTGGCGCTGGGTTGGCGATGCAAACTAGAATAGTAGGTTTCTGTGAGCGATAGTTAGTAATGGATCGGTTTGTTTGAGATGGAGAATCTGCATCCTTAGAAGACAATCGAAATGAAAACAAAACATGTCCATTGATGAGCACATTGACTATGATGGACGAATGAAGAAAGATTGATGTCGCAATTCAACTCCTCCCCCCGGTAAATGGAGACAGATTCAAAGGATAAAACAAAAGAGAGAACCATCGCAATCATTTGCACTAAAACTTTTGATTTTTTAATTTTTAAATTTTTTTTTCTTTTTACAGAGTAGCGACTAGAAGAGATACTGGAAATTTTTACAACACTCCATGGAAAATCGGAGACAAAACAAGTACACTAAAACAAGAGATGAAAAACAGCTAGAGCTATATTGAGTAACTAATCCGATACTCTGCGTCCACCTGAAGATTTCAAAAGAGAAGAGAAGAATTGATTGAAGCGACTCCAGCGTAACCAATGCCCAGGCGAGAATAACCGAGGAATCAAACGTGCAAAGCTCAGGACGCCAGTTGTTATTCCATATTCACAATCTCCTGTTTTCAGGAATTCATATCTCGGCGACTGATAAACTTATGAGGACTTCTTTGCTTTCGAGTTCTTGTTTAGTAAACTCTTATGAATATGCTGGAATAGTGTTGAAATCACACGAATTGATTAGTATCATGAATTAACATCGACATCAGGTTCAACTTGTGCCAATAGATGATGGGAACGTACCGGCAATACACCACCACCAGCGATAGTGGCACGGATAAGCGTATCTAGTTCTTCATCCCCTCGAATGGCTAGCTGGAGATGGCGTGGTGTGATACGTTTCACTTTCAGATCTTTCGATGCATTGCCAGCCAACTCGAGAACTTCTGCTGTGAGATATTCCAGAATAGCCGCGGAATAGACTGCGGCTTTGGCCCCAACTCTTGCGTTGTTCAGAGTACGCTTTTTCAAGTAGCGATGAATACGGCCAACTGGGAACTGGATCGTAAGAAAGTGTTGGAATGAATGTTTTGTAAGTGCACGGTGCATATCTCTGGGATTTGAGAAGGTAATAGGGAGTGGAAGTTCACTGTTTCGAGGGTACCAGCTCGAGTACCAGAAAAATTCACCCCGAAAAGGATCACAGCCTCAAAGCTATTTCCACAGACTAGCGCATCGGAGAAACAAGACGGCCTTACCTGTAGCCCGGCTCTCTGGGATCTAGACATTGCGGGTGCTCGGTCTTTTTGTGGCTCGGTGGAATTGCCAGTTGCGTTACCAGCAGCAGTTGTGGGAGCTTGGGTCACTATTGCATTACTCGCACTTGTCTGTGACTCGGAGGGCGGCTTGGCGGATGCCGTGGGTCCGTTGTTGACAGCAGGCCTCGATTCTGCCTATGTTATAAGAGACCCATTTAAGCGTATATAGTGAATGTTTGGAATTGCAGAAATAGCGGAACGCGACGGCTTTGTAATAGTTGTTTACTCGTATATATCTCGGTAGAAATCGTGTATGTTAATGTAAAGTTACGCGACGCTTTGTTCAGCAAGTCAACCAGTAACTTTCATTCAGTACCGCGACTTTTACTTCGACTTAGTCTTTGGTTCCGAGAAAGAAAAGTATTCTTCTTGTCCACGTGATGTACAAGAAGAAATGGACGCTGTCTATATTATGTAAAATGTGAGAGATGAATAAATTTCTTTTCACTTACCATTTGGATAATAATATCGTTTACGAAGTAGGTCTCAATATGAAGATAGTATAAACAAAAAAATGTGGAATTTTTTTGGTACGTATAAAAAGTTTTGGGGTCGGAGTTGCAAAGGGTCGGAAAAGCGAAGTGATTTCAGGGGATGGGGTGTGATTGAAAAAAAAAGCTATGAAAGAAGAAAGACAAACTCAAAATGTTCCGAATGTGTTGCTATTAACGGCGATGGCACACGGTCAGAATTACCCAATTCAAATGTGCGATCTGGGTACTGGCAAATCAGAAGGGCCATGGATGCGGATTAGGGTTACACGCAACAAATAATCGAATTTGTGCCACAGTTGTCAAATGATTGCGTCATAAATTTATCAACGAGAGAGAGAGTTTGGTGCCATTATACCCAGCGAGTAGTCAAGTCAAAGAAAAGAAGGCATTGTCCGTTTTGTTCGCTCGGTAGATTTCATCAGCTTACCTTGTCAAAAAGTCACATCCCAATGGAAACGACGAGAAAGCAGTCGTACTGATCATTTATGGAAAACGGGTGTTTTGAAAAATTGTTATCCCGAATTATTGTAAATATGAGTCGATTATGCACAACCAAGTGACCAATTTCTTTTTTGGAGTTACACCTACCAATTAAGAAATTCTGCTTAGAAAGAAATACGACGACTAAGCGACAAGCAATCAAGTCGAGATAATCAAATACATTAGCTCATCCTCTACAACAACAAACCGAGAACTTGACAGTGAGCAGTAGTAGTACACTGAAGCCAAGGTTGATGGAGCACTACGTCTTCGTCATCTTCATATGTTCAAAGACTGCTTATATGTTATGACTTCAACTCTTATATCTCTGATGACAAAATCATACGAGAAATATTTATTCATCCGAATAGGAAGAAAAATAACGTTCTTTTTAGGTAGAAGCAGGCGCGTGTTAAACATGTTCTGTTAGTTGAACTTTTATAAGTTTGTTTCAATGAAAGCAGAGGTTGAGATGGTTCGCTAAACAGACGAAGTAAAAGTTGCTCTCTCGCGGTAAACATGATAGTTTATTACGGTTGCTGTTACCTGTTACCGTCATCATTACTGCTGTTGTTACCGTTACCGTTGCTCTGCTGCTGTTCCTGTTGTCGTTGTTGCTACTACTGGCAATTCTATCGTCTTGTTGTCATGAAGTTCAAATAGCCGGCTCTCCGTATGGATACTGTGATTTGCAGACTTTATTTGTTACACCGATCCGTGCGATTCTTTGTGTAGGTTACATTGTATCGCAATAATGTAATCATCTTATCGAGATGGTTATTGGATTGCGAACACTAAAGATTAGGGGTAGGGGAAAAAATAATTGATCCGATCCGATTATGCACCTGGGTTTTGAGTAAGGAGCTCTGCGATTGTTTATACAAAAGCTGTCACTGCCGAAAGCATTTTTCTCGAGTGCTTTCTTTCTCTGTTCTTCACTATCAAATTTCTTTAATAGCACTTCGAGATAAGTTATGCTATCTCTACTGACGGAATTTTTCGCTCATTAAACGTTTATTCTCGTGCATTATTTTGTTTGTCAGCCTTTTACCATTGAAACGAATCGCGCGTGACTGTTTGTTAACCAATTACATATTACTGCAGCAGGAACATTTATCATATGACTTAATAATGTTATATTTAACTGTGGTGAAGGTAAAGAGGAATAAGGAATAGAAAAACAGCTGAGATTGAGCGGTCACGAAGAATATATTTAGAATAGAATTGGGTAAGCCGACGACGTAATGAGACGTGTGTTTGTTGCAATTATTTAGTGATTTCTCAGACGCACTTCAATTTAGTGAGCATCGATGAACAATCACCATTAAAATACTTTAAGGTATATAATATATTTACCTTGCAACTGCATTTAGTAAAGTCTAGTTTACTTCACTAGAACCGATATAAATTTATGCAATCAAATGTAACCCCTTACTTACCAGCTAGGAATTATCGTGTATCAAGCATGCATATTTCGATAATTCATTATATATTAATATCCAGCATTCTACATAGGGTATAAGATACTTTAAGCACCTTTGACTCGCTATTTTACAACAGGCGTAATTGGAATAAGATCTTTGCATTACTGTATTAGTATGTCGTTAAAATTAGATTTGAGCAATAGTGCGTTACGGATTCATAATAGAAGCGCAAAAAGGCGAAGATATAGACGAGTTTAAATTTAGATCACATGGTTGGAAAATGCTCTTGATATATTATATACAAATCTTTCGACATGTCCCGTGATTTAATAGATGTTCTATTTTAAAGCAAAAAAAAAGTTATTTAAAAGGTTACAATAACAAGCTAATACTAATGAAAAAATTAAATAATAAAATATAAGCAAATGCTTGGGTAAATAAAATGCTTTGGGCTAAGCAAGAGAATGTTACGACTTGTTGCTGCAGATGATATGGTCTTTCTATCACGGAGAATTTCCCAATTAAGGATCGCTATAGACCAGATGATATATGAAAATCTGAAGAAATTAGAAAAATTTACTAAAGATTAATAGTGAACTAGACAATAGAAGATACAATAGATACCAAATCCTGACATAATAGTATTAGCAAAAAATTGTCAAGTGTCGAGCAAATACTACAGGACAGTGAATACTAATTGGTCTTGGGATTTAGCTCTTTCGAACAAGGCTTGCTAATCTCTACTCCTGCGTAAATTGCTAATACAGTTAGGGACCGTTAAATTATACTCCCGATTTTCTGTTAATCGGGTTGTATACGTAGACCCTCGATTGCTAGTTATACTGCAATTATGCTTCTACCCTCTATCGATGGGATTAGTCTCGGTGGTCCGTAGGGAATGTTTCTATATTAAAGCAAACGTGTTTGTATATAATAATTAACAATTGTACGAGATTCAATGGACAAAATCGAATCTACCCGCGATTTTGGAATCTGCGGTTTGCACGTCAAAATTACTGAAGTGCCAGAGGTCAATATTTATGTTCTAGCCCAAATTGGACCATTTCAGGATTCTGATTTGGGCCATCTCATGAAGCATGTAACTAACATTCAACTTTATTGAGATAAACATTATGCTTTGATAGGATTACCTCTATTTAGTATAACTAATTTACATTAAATCCATGGAATCAAAGAATTACAGTACAATCAGAAGCATTTTAAAAAAAGCTCAAGGTAAAAAAATTGCGCCTTATGTTTTAAAATCAATAATACCAAAATTCTCGAGGAATATAAAAATCACTTATAGATTTTGTCAATAAACGAACATTAACCTCAACTTATAATGTGCCAAGAAGGAAACAAAAATCGAAGAAATATAAAGCAAAACACTAAAACTTTAGTTAAAAAAACAAATAATATTTTTTAATATTTTCAATAACATACCAAAGTAAAGGCTAGGCATTCTTTTTTACTTTATCTAAAAGTATTATTTTCTTTGACAGTTAAAAGAATCAATTATACATATAGTAGAAAGTAACAAAAATTTTCCCCAATCTTTAAATTGTTTTCTTATTTTTAATCAAGACCATTCCTTAGTCTCTTTAACTTCAATTTGAGTAATTACCACTAGATAGTCGATATTAAGTTGGTTTTTTAGCCTATTACACCTCTCACATTTGGGAGGTGTTCATTTCACCGACTGAAATGTACTGTCGGTGAAGTGATTGTCGGTGAAATGAACCGAACCCCCTCACATTTTGATATCTCATTATTTTTTTTGCAATTCTCGCAAGCAAAGTCAATACCAACTATTTCATAGGTTACTTTACTGCGAGACACAAAACCAGAGCAAAAACTACAAGTTATGTTACCACTGATACAAATCCTTTGAGATAGTAAACATTCCTACGACAATTATAATATTAACAAAGAATGACAATGGTTACGATTAATCTTGAGGTATAAATAGCTTGCTACAATTCACTGACAACGAAGAGGTTGGTTCTTATAATGAAGGTAGGACGACGGCTTTGATATGCTATATTAATAGGTAAATTTACTTTACGATTATAGTAATCGCAAAGCTACTATTACAGTGAATTTAGGATTTATATACGACAGATATGTTCACTGGGAAATAGATACTATCAGACTGGTGCTTATTCGTATTGCTCGCTAAATACGTACTGTACATAATCGTTGCTCCTAAGTCAAGTACATTGCATGACCGTTATCTAACACAATAAATTGATGCGACTGTAATTCAAAAATAATGTCACGTATGCGCGCACAACGGATAATATAATATAATAAAGCACGTTCGCAACAATGTTTGCGTTAGTAATATATGGAATATGTTCTATCAGGATAACGATATTGCCTATAATCAATTATTTTTACACCAGTTGGAAATGTTTCAAATTTCAAGTTACGTTCCATAGTATCTAATTTTTCTTCCGAATATAAACAAACCCAATAAAGATATACGCGTTGCTAAATAGAGTTAAAGTTAGAATAATTGAGTACATTTTACACTAAGTCAACGAATAAATAAACCATACTTACAAAGACATCACCACTGATGTTACTAATAGCAATTTCTATGATAATGTTATCTTCAGACAAAACGTTAACCATGCATGGTAAAATGTATTCAACACATTTGTTTTCACATTCAACGTCCGTCTCATATTTTATTTCTTCAGTTGATGTTTTTATTGTTGTCTACAAAACCAAATGTTTATACTCATTATACAATTAAGATTAAACAA